TACAACATGCTTCTTGCTGGTTATTAGAGAACAGTGATTGTGGGGACACTGCTCCACTGTTTGACCTTATTGTCTGATACTATCAAGTTTGATTTTCAGTACCTGCAAGGGAAAATTCTGCAGATAAAAATCACTATAATTCAACAAATATACCATGAACACTACTGTAAGCAAAACACAGTAGCACTTTCTACTACTAAGTATGTGAATGCCTGGCTGAACTTGTCTATTTTTTTAAAAATTTAACATTCTGTTACATCAATCTCAGGAACATTTCAAATTTAGGATTATTTACAACCAAAAACTTCTACCCCCACGCAATCCCTTCACTTTCTTCCTCTTAATCCCTACTCCTTCCCTCTTAACCTCAGAAATCTCACGTTGGTTATCAATGACCTTTATTTTAAAATTATTTCACTTTGCCACTTCATCTGCTTTGTTTCCTTATATCCCTATATATGTGAAATGGTCCAACATTTGTCTTTCTCTTTCTAACCTGCATTACTTCACAGGAGCCCCTTGAATTCCTCCCACTTTCATGTAAATGGTAACAGTTCATCATTCTTCACAGCTGAGCAGTATCCAGGATGTGAGTAGACTACATCTTCTTGATCCAGTCTCTTAACTATGAGCACTTGTGAGCATCCCAAATTCTAGCTATTATAAATAACTGCAATAAACATTGTGAAACATATAATTTTCTGAGTTGTTGATTTTATATCTTTCAGATCGATCTGTCAGAGGGACTGCTGGATCATATGACAGTTCCATTTTTATTTTTTGAAGATAAGTCAGAACACTTTCCAAATGGCTGTAGCAGTTCACATCTCACTAGCAGCGTAGTAGGGTTTCTTTCCTGTCATCTACTCTCCAGCACTCATTACCAGAGGACTTTTTGAGGCAAGCCATTCTGTAAACTCGTCTCTTTAATTGAACCACTATTAAAGTAATTTACTGTGGCATGGCAAAGCCATGCTGCACTTGAAATATATGATCATCAAATAAGACTATAAGCATTTGTGTTGAACAGAAAACATAAACACAAAAGAACAAAAGAACATAGACACAAATTTGATTCTAGCCTTCGTATACTTTTAAAATGGGTTTCTATGGTTTTTTTGTTGCCTTTGCTTGAAGCTCTGAGGTCAATGTGTTGTCAGCAGTGATGAAGATAGAAACCCATGTTATTTAAGAAACAAAACAGGCTACTGAAATTTCAGACTGCAATTACCAAAACTGCAGGTCTTCACTACATAATGATAATGTAATAGATAATTCAAGAACAGGCATGTTAAACAACCAAGCAGAACTAAGTTTAGAATCATTTGCCACCAACACCTGTACTTTCTGAAAGGAACAAAAGGTCAAGAAAATAAAGAGTGTGTCTGTATTCTTGACTTCCTAGACAGGAAGTTTTATCTAGCTAGGTTTAAAAATAAGTAAATAATACTGTCAGTTAATTGCTCCCTTTACCCATTTTGATTCACAGTTTGAACACACCAGTTGTGACCAGTTATTACAAAAGCACCAAATCCACAGGTACTACAATATGAAAATATGGGTGACGTTGCTAAATTAAGATTTTCACTATGCTAAGAGGAGGATCAGAAATGGGTATCAAGAATAAATCAGTTTGAGAGAGAATACCAAATATGATGCAAGGAAGGATAAACATTCAATCATTGCAAATGAACCTAGCTTCTTACTGAAGCTTAGGTTCACTCCCTTCCTCTTCTGGGCCAAGTTTTCTGCAGGGAAGAGCATATATCCCTTTTAGAATAAGGATACCCCTGTGCTAGAGAGTTTTAGAATGCCAGGAAACAGCCACAGACCGGAATGTCTTACATTGGGTAGAAGGAGATTATCATTCGATAGCAGTAAGACTTTATTTCTGTGTCATTTGTTAGTTATTCCAATGATGTAATGCTACTAGGTTCAGGTAGATCAAAAACAAGTTTTGGTATGCAGTTGGACAGGATCCAAAACCTCATACCCCAGAGAGCATGTTCATTTCCACCCACTATCAGGTGATAAGTCAGCAGGAACAAAAGTATAGCAATCTGTGAAGACAGTACCATCAATAATTAGTGGTTTCTAAAACCCTATTCTAGGGTCATGTACAATTTGTCATGATTGTCTATCATTTATGATCCAAAGGCCAAATCTCCTGAGACCCTCAATTTAATATTTACAATTTTTTCTTCTGTGTTTTTCCCTTATTAAATTTGGTGCCCACATACTTCCCAAGTTTAACCCCAGACTTAATCTGACAAAAAGCAACAATATTATCATGTTTGGGAGTGCAGGATGAAAATGTCCAGAATCCTACCAAGCAATATGTATGTCATTACTTTATCTCATCAGCTTAACTGTCATCATTAAGGTTTTCCAGATGATGTCTAGACTTTTCCAAAGAACATATTCTCTCACCAAACTCTAAGGAAATGATTCACAATCTTTTTTTTCATTATCACCAATCCCCTTTTAAGGACTCTTTAGACTTTTTTTCCTAATCACATACCCTCCCTAGGAAATGCTGATACTGAAGATACACTAGTATATCTTTTTATATCTGCTGGCCCTTGGGAGCATCATGAACCATTGTAAGAGCTAAGAATTTCTTACTGCTGACCCTCCCTGGTGCTGCAGCGGGTTAAAGCACAGCACTAAGAAGCTACAGCAACTTCAGCATGAGTTCAATCCCCACCTGCCCTGGAGGTGACCACGTGACAAGGCAGACTTCCTGGCCCAAACGCTGCTCCCCTCCCAGTGTACTTCATCAGTTGGCCTGTTCTGCTCCCCACTGTCTTTGGTGAATCCTCTTACTGCCCCTGCATCTCTGGCCTGTACTCCAGTTCTCTATGCACAAATAAACAAATCTTAAAAAAAAAAAAAAAAAAAGAATTTCTTACTGCCTAAATAAAATCTGACTTAATTTATTTGGGGGTCACATTACCTGGCTCTGAGAATGCACATTCGGAAACATTTAAGAATAAGTGGGCTTTTGAAAATTTCCCAAACTAACAACATATTTATTTTGTATTTAACATTAAAATAAAAATGAACTACCTTTCTTCTGTTTCCTAGCCTTGTTTATAAAATGTGATTGACTCTGAGGAAAGTATTGAGTAATCTGAAGTAATCAAAATGTGTGATGTGTGTATGAGAGAGAGACAGACAGAGAATGTTCACTGTAATTGCAGAACAGCTTTTTAAATGTGAAGGATTAAACTGAGTTTAGTTTTCAAAATTTTGGTAAACCAAAATGTATCTCATACTGACTAGATAGATGTAGTTTTACTGATGAAAAATAAAATGAAATGACTGTTTCCAAAAAAAAAAAAAAAGAGTGAGCATGTCTTGGTTTCAGTAGGAATCTTGGGTAACTGGGCAATGGTTACATATTTCTCATTTTCTGTCCTTGACTTCTTGTAACTGATCCTTAGGAGGCTAACGATTACAAAATTATGGCTATGAAGTCATGCAAATTATAAATGGTATTTGACTCTATGCTGCTAAAAGACCATGTCAACAAATCTGAAAACTCAATGGAAGATAGTCTCTGGAATTAACAGTGAGGGTGAAATAAAACACAACATTTGATCTTTTATTCAAAGAAAAAACTTATGTTTTAAATAAGCTAGAGGATTATCAAAAATGCAATGCAAAAAAAAAAACACTATGATAATGTAATCCTACAAATATAGGGGAATCTTCTGGCAAAATGCTAACCTGTGGCTTTCCAGTGTCCCCTCACACACCAACACAACTACAAAAGATGGAGAACTCTGAAACTGGAGTCTACCTGACATCAGAAAAAAAGAAAATTTTTTTTTCTTTTTTTACTTGTTTCAGAGTCCAAATGGCTTCAGTGAAGTCCAAATGGAGGTTATTCCAAAGCGAGACACAGCTAAGCGAATGAGATGAATTACAGAATTTCTCCAACAGTCCAATGCATCCTCCAACTCAGACAGTGAAGCCTCCAACTCAGACAGTGAAGCCATTAAAAGTAGTGGGGTGATTTTCTCAATGGATGTGTTAGAACTTTAAGATCAAGGCCAAGAGAAAGATATTGATAGAGGGGAGGTGGGGGAAACCCGCTCTAGGCTAGTTCAGGTTGTCTCAGACTGCCAATACCCAGATACCTGGCAACACCCCGGGAGTGAGAATGCAGGAATACATCAACTTCAGATCTGGGTGGAGGCCCAGAAAGTAAAAGGAACACAACTCAAATCTCTGGGACCCAGTGACCCAGGTGTCCTCCAGAGACTGAGGCAAACAAACCAGCCTGCCAGGGACTTGCTGAGGAGAGCCTTTAAAGGGCTTTGCTGCTTGCCAGCAACTGGAAAGCTTCTGCGCACTGAAACCAACAGCAGAAACCGGGTGTCCTGTGGGACCCACGAAACCTCAGAAACCCCGCTTTCCCGGACTCGGAGTTTCTGAGTCACGCTGAGTCCCAATTTCAGTCACTTTGGGGGCTGCACACGGCCTATCTTCCAAATGAATAGTAAGTAAGTCCCCAGATTGCTCTATCTGTGGCTGAAGGGCTGAAACACACCATTTCCTTTCCCCACGACTGAGAAAATAAGAGAAATCACGCAAAGAAAGCCCATCTCGAGCCCCCGCACCCCGCACACACGGCCCATAGGTCCTCCAAGTTCCACCCGCTAAGCGACCGGGCTGAGAGGCGGCGCGCCCGCAACTTTCCGCCACTGGGGGATCCCGCTGAGAGTGACTGACGGCCGGACTTCTCGCAAAGCAACCAGCTGAGCCACCTGGTCCACCCGCTCCCCTCGGCACGCGCCGCGCCCCCTCCGGCCCGTTCCGGAAGGAAGAAGAACGCCCCCCAGGGCCGGCACCCGCGCGAGCCCCTAGCCCCCGCCAGGCACCAAGGTTCGCCACATAGGCGTGTTTAAAAAAGGGAAAAGAACAATGACAACCACAAAAGTGATTTTTTCAATTAAAAAAACACATAGAAGGTAAAAGCGGGGGCCCCTTACCATCTCGCCTGAGGTGGGCGTTGCGCAAAGCCTTGATGGATGCGCTCTGCGGGGTGGCACAAGTGTCCCGATAGCTGCAAAAGTTGGCGCAGGCTAGAGTGTAGACGAGGATGAGCCGGTGCATTGGGAACCGCGACGTGGGGACAACGTGGCTCCAAGAAAACGCGGGGATCCGCTCCCGGCCGGCCGCCGCGCCGCGCTCCCCGCCCGCGCTCGCCCCGCGCTCAGCCGCCGCACTACTTGCCGCGCCCGCCCCAAACTTCCTGCATGCTGACTGGCGGGCGCGGGCGGCGGCCGCACTTCCTCGTGGGGCCGAGAGTTGATAAAGCGCCGCGGGACAAACAACAGGTTGGCGTCCGTTCGCCCCCTCCCGTGGCCGGCAGCTGCAGCACAAGCTGCGGGAGGGGGGAGGCGCGGCGGCCCGGGCGGTGAGCCAAGCAGCCGCGGCCCCAAAGCTGCGCGTACTCGGCTTCCCGCAGCCGCGCGCGCCAGACCTCCCGCTCCCTTGGTCCTAGTCGCAGGGCCACTGAGCATGCCCAGTCCCACCGGAGGCCTCAGGGACAAGGGCGCTGGGGATGTTGGGCTTCGGAAGGAGCAGCTGGTGGAAACCCATTGCTTCTCTGAGGTGACCTACCCATCTCTGAACCCCGGTAACAGCTCCAGCCCTGTGAAGCTGTTAAGCTAAATCAGGTTCTGCTGAGATTTTGCTAAGTGAAAAAGTAGTAAAGCACAGTCGAAAATGAGCTAGTTTTGAATGCTGGATTTGATGCCTGTGACCTTGGCTGAGTCAAGGTTAGGTTTTCAGGGACTGAAAAGAAAGGGCCTTGCTATCTCACAGGGTTCTACTTGTGCCACTCTGGAAGAGAAGCCAACAGTGCATGGTCAAGGTGTTTTGGTAGACCTGCCCTGCACAGTGAAAGGGGCTGGAAGACAGGGTGCAGCTGAGTGCAGAAAGACTGACAAGCTGGGGAGCTGAGTAGACCTTGTGTTCTTATTCGCAATCCATAGGATAAGACCGGGAACTTCCAGGCCTTTGGGATTCTTCCCTGGACCCAAGTCAGTAGCTGCCTGTGAATGCCAGGAACTTCCCCATCTGGCATCTACCTCCCCAACCCCTCAGGAAGGGTACTGTGCTTAAACACCAGGGGGTCTAGACTGCTCCCCATTGGCTTGTTCCCTTGAGTAAATAATTTCATTACTTAAATCTGTTTCATTACTCATGTTAGGAGGATAGCAATTCAGAGTTTATATGGATGTGGTAAGGATTTTAGGAACTTATTTTAGTGTATTACTTTCTTTTGTAGCTAAATCCAAATTTATGCATAGAATAACTGGGGTGTAGGTCAGAGGTGGGTGTGTGTGCTTGAGAGGATTCACCAGAGACAGAATGGGGAGCAGAACAGGAAGATCTACTGAAATACACTGCTGAGGGCCAGACAGGAGAGAGCTGCTGCACTATGGGGATGACTCTAGCCTTTGTAGTGATAATATTGGGACTTAACTCCTTTACCACCAGAGAGGCCCCTAAACCCAAATTTGTATAATTTCTCATGAGACCTAGAATAGATGAGATCTAGAAAGAGGTATTTCTGATCTTTTTCAGGCTTTCTAGCTCCTGAAACCTTGGGGTTTTCATATATCAAGGTTTGGAAGCAGCTGAGCAGGGTAAGAAAATCAGGAAATATAATATTGACTATTATAGCATGCGACTCCAGCCAGGAAAACTGTTTTTTCTGCCTTTCCAAAAATTACTGTAGTTCATCTACTGGCATTTTTATCTTAAACGGTGTTGTACATATTGGCAGGTTTGTGAGTAGTAAAGTCAGTTTTAAGATCAACGTTATTTTTTTTTTCATTAAGACTTCATTATTTTAGAACAGTTTTAGTTTCGCAGCAAATTTGAGGAAAAGATTTAGAACTTTCATAAATATGCTGGTGCCCCACACCTGTAAGTTCCACTATTATTGTCATCCCCTCCCAAAGTGAAACATTTGTCACAATTGATGAACCTACGCTGACACACCAGAAGCCTCCAAAGTTTATATGATAATACACGTTGGGTTACATACGGTCCACACAGAGTGTGCATTAAGTTCATGTTGTACATGGCATGGGTTTGGGCATACATAGTCAGCATCATTACTCTAAAAATACTCTGTGTTCCAGGACTATTTGAAATAAATAGAATGAAATACAACAGCTTAGAAATTTAATTATTAGGATCCACTGATGATGATAATGTTAAATATTATTTCATAAATCTTTTGTTTCAAATAAATGCACACGCAGAAAGAGATAAGAATATGAAAGATATTTTTGTGGGGATGATCAAAAAATTTGAAAGATCTAATTGTCTCAAAATATAGTAAATTCCTGAATGGGGCACAGATAGAGACATAATATCTGGTTTTTATTCATTCATTCATTCACTCATTGAACTAGTATAGACGGAACCTTACTTTTTCTCTTTTACCAGGCCCTGGCCACAAAAATTTGGGGCTAAATAGTGTACCTGAGAAATAGATAGGTTTTCTGATTTCTTGGAGTATACCTTCAAATGGAAAGGAGAGACCATAAGCAAGTGTGTATGTATAAAAAGAGGTTCAGAGATTGATAAGGTAGATGTGTATACTAATAAAATCTTAAAAAAAGTAGAGCTCTCATTAAATTTCATATCTAGCTCCTGAGATTATAGAAAAATTGAGAAATTATATAAGTTCTTATATTATTAAGACAAGTATATGAAAAAGGGTTATATTTTATGTAAAACTTTTAATTTAGAGGCTCCAAAGTAGTGTTGTCCAATATACCAATGCTTGGTGCTCATGGGGATTATGAATTCCTAATGTCAAATCATTGTGCTGAGAATGCTAAAATAAACTAAAGATATCAGGCTGTTCTTTATGTTTGATAATAATAAATATCCAAAATCAGTGACAAAGCAAAAAAAAAAAAAAATGAAGCATCTAAACCTAACCATTTGTTTTAAAGCTGGTTTTCAGCATTTCCAAAAAATTAACTCTTACATTGTAGGTAGATTGTCTTAATAAGTTGCCATCATACAGCAAATAGATATGTTAGAAAAATAGTGAAAGTGGGGGAAAGACCTAGAACAAAGGTAGCAAATAAGATTATTTCAACTTATTTTCATATGTATCTCAAACTAAATCATCAGAACATTGAATTTGTCCTTATATTTAAATGGCCAGGGTTCAGTTAGAAGAACATTAGACAAATTTTGACAATCTATAATGAAACCAGCACTCCAAGATTGGTTAATGATTTATATAGTTCCTTTTATTTTGGAAGAAATATATTTTAGGGTAGATAGAATTAGATAGATGAAATACAGCTGACTAAATGAATTACAGATTTGAAAAAGCAAAATTAACTTGAAGATTTCAGAAATTTAGCAAATACATATATGATGTATAGCTCAGGAAAACTGGATTAAAATAGGTTTGTTTTTTAAGTAGAATGAAAAGTAATGTTTGGATATTGGTGCAAAAGGACAAAAATAAGTATTAATAAGATGGCAAATTGTAGGCTTCTAAACTGAAAATCTGGCCTATTTCTATTTTCTGGGCCCTAACTTAAAGGAAATCATACATGTGGTACTAAAATCTTAAACCCAACTTTGTTGAATTCATACTGCACTTTTGCTTTAGTGTTACAAACACACACACTCTCACTCACATGCACACACAACACATACAAATCACCATCTGTTTTACACATGATAATGTCAAATACAATCTTACCCAGCTACTGTGTGGAAACATTTTAATTACTAACTTCCAGGCTTGATCTTTTAAAAACTGGTTGTAGGTGAGACTATCAGTTTGACTTTGACAGTTTGTACATCCAATCAGTCAATCTAGTAGTCTGCTCTATTAAGCATTAATTTCTCCTTGAATTAACTAATGATTCAGCTTAATGGAATGAGTCATTGTATTATACATAAGTCTATCACATAAAAAAAATCCCTATAATTTTTCTTTGGCATACTTGTATTTTTTATTATTTCCATTTATCCATTCTAGAGCTGCATTATCTAAATTTAAAGTTTCACAGATGAATCTGTTGCCTATACTGCAGGATTTCTTCCTTAATTGATCTGGGATGTCTGCCAGTACCTTTTAGAATTCTGTACTTTTATCTTTATAAGATTGGCTTATTTCCAGTAAATTGTCAGACTTTGAATTTTTCTCTTACCTTGCCATTTCTTGAGCATGGAATTGGTATTCAGGTCTATATGTGTCTTTTTGTTTGAGTGAGTTTAATTGAATCAAGAAAATATCTCCTTATATTTATGTCCCTTGGACTCCACAGTACATATTAATTTTCCCTTTTTAGACAATATTTAAAACTTAAGAATTGATCTCACTAACAGCTTTTCTTTCACCCCAGCTAATATATTAGGATGTATAGTCTCCATCAAAGAGGTAGGTGTACTTAAGAGTTTGAACTAGAAGCCAGTTTTTGTGTTCTAAAATCTTGATTATTGTACAAGATGAATAGTATCGTTAACTTTGGCTAAGCTAATTTATGGTAAAACATGAATCACATCATTAGATACTGATTCTTAGATTTTTTTTTTTTTATGTGACCAAAAGGAATTTGTTTCCTAACTAAATACTGGAAAAGTCCTTCATTTCTACATTTGAAAGTTTAAAATTTATAAAATGGTGACTGTTTCGATAAAGGGTAGACATTGTTTTTTTGACATAAAGGATAGTCACTTATTTCATCAACATAATCTTTATACAATTTCTCAGTATTTTAGACTAATTGAATAATTCAAGAATTCTCAGGTGACCTTATAATTCAAGAATTCTCAGGTGACCTTAAAATGTACTATAATGTGAAATATTTGATGCATTGGCCTCTTTCACAGTTAGGAAAGGTCACTCTGACTCAAACTGTTTGCCAGTCCTTCCTGTTTAAGAGCTGGCTGAAGCAAAACTAAACAGCTCACAAAAGTGAAGGAGTAAGCAAGTTTATTGACCTGATATAAAACAATCAATGAGATGCCATCTTAAGAACAGACTGGACAAAGTAAAAGATGATAAAAATGTAACAAACAAAGGATGCGGAAAACCATGGCAAAGTAGGTCATTTCAAGGTAAATTAAAAAAAAAATCTGTCCAGTTCACATTTTCATAAATGGCTTAATCTTAAAATCTTTGCGGGTAACATATATAAATATAGAAAAGTAATCAGTGGTGAAGCCACAACAGCAATAAAATATGTGTGTGTACTTAATTAAGACTGTGTACCCTTGTCTTAAGAATCATGAAAATAAATGTTTGA